CAATCGATCAAGTCTGTCAGTCGTCGCTGCATCCATCTGAATTTCTTTCAATTTACTACGGCTTCCGGGCTCCTTCCTCGTGTCAACTTCACTCCACACGTCCAGCCCCACGCCATTGTTTATAGCTTCTCCGCCCCCACAACTCGCCGACGCCCCCGCGTGTATAATTAGCCACGGTTCACGACTCACGAGCTTGCAGTTCAGTGCAGTTCTGTGTGTGGTCGAGAGAGGCGGGCCGAGAACGAAGCTTGCCAGTCGATAGCAGCACAGGTCCCCGTGAGCGGATCGTGTGGGTTCGTGACCACCGACCCAGAAGTCAAGAGATGGCAACGAGCGAGCTGCCGTCGGAGTCGGACGCGTTCGCCTTCCCGTGCCGCGACGACGACGGGACGTCGACGGCGCTGTCGCCGCCGGTCGTGATCTCGGTGCTCGCGTCCATCCTGGAGCGGCACATCGCCCGCAACGAGCGGGCCCTGGCGGCCGCCGCGGCACCGGGAGACGACGCCGACGGCTCTGAATCGGCGGCAGCGGCGACGAGGAAGAAGGGTGCGGGCGTTCGACAGCGGCACGGTGCTGGACATGAGTCTGCACGCGTTCCTGGAGCGCTTCTCCCGGTACGCGCACGTCCCGCCGCAGGTGTACGTGGTGGCGTACGCGTACCTGGACCGGCTCCGGCGCCCAGGCGGCGCCGGCGTGCGCGTCGTCCGCGCCAACGCGCAGCGCCTGCTGACCACGGCCATCCTCGTCGCGTCCAAGTTCGTCGAGGACCGCAACTACAGCAACTCCCACTTCGCGGCGGTGGGCGGGCTGGCGCCCGCGGAGCTGGGCGCGCTGGAGCTCGGCTTCCTGTTCCTGTTGCAGTTCAGGCTCAACATCTGCACTAGTTTGTTCCGGAGCTACTGCCGACACCTGGAGCGGGAGGTGAGCCACGGCGGCTGGTACTACCGCGTCCAGAGGCCGCCGCTCGACAGGGCGCTCGTCGTCTACGCCGGAGAAGCGCGGGCGCAGCACCGCCAGGCAGAGGCAGCGTAGTAAAGCCAGTTCAGGGACAAATTTTCAGGGATGGGCGGCCATCTCTGCGTCATCCGCCAGCGGCAACTGGGGACTGAGAGCTGCGGCGTCGCCACCGGCACACTGGTAGAGAAGGTGTCGGTGACCAAAGGGCGCACGGAATGTACATAGATAGCATAATGAGTAATCATGGCTTGCACTATGAGTTTAGACTTGCAAGCATTGTACTCCAATGGCAAGCGTTCCTTTTACCTCGATCGAAAATTATATATATATATTCGAAGAGGAAAAGTAAAAAAAAAAAAAAGACTACATCTCTAATCTTCTCGAAAGAAGAAGAACGCCTTTAAACAAGATCGTAAACAATTGATTCCAGCAACTAACAGAACCGATTGGGACTGGGTGTTTGATAGCGTAATTTATGATAAACTAGTTCGTCGATCCGTGCTTCCGCACAAGTTAAAATTTCATGAGATATAAACTTTGATGTTACTGTTTAATACATATATAACTAATAAAATTAACTTGTATAAATTTACATGTTTTTTTGTTATTAATTTTCTTACACAACTGGTATATTAGATACTTCGTAGTCACTATCTAATTGTATTAAACTTATTGACTATTTATCTATATATTTTTCATTTATATCTCTATTTTTTAAACTTGCAAGGTAATTTTGAATATGCATTTAGTTGAAACCTTAGCTTATATTGTGGTGGCTCTTGTTGCAACCTCTATCTTATGACACCATGAATCTAGATTTTTATTTTCAAATTTTAACCTTTTTAGTTGCTACAAATTTTTATCCTCAAGTTAAGCTAAAGCACTTGTGCTTATTGTATCTTTTATTAACTCTTTCTTTCATATTTTATTGTAAGCAAGGATTTTAGATCATAGACTATACTCTTAAGTACTATACAATGATATGATGGTCATTTAAAATCTACACCACATCTTTTAAAACTGATGTTAGAGTTTGAAGTAAGATTTAAGATGGAGTATTGGTTCTAACCTCAAGATCCTTACTAGTATTTACCCGAAATGAATCTTGAATACTAGGTAGTTAGCCAATTTTAGTCTGTACTAACCTCCCACACTTCTCAAGATGTTTTAATTCTCTTATCAAGTTACATTTGTAATAATATTTCTTTATTAAAATAGAGTTCTTACATCGGTATGTTATTAATATAGATATATCAAATGTTTTAGTAGAATATAGATTTATCTAAAATAACTATATTTATAAATTATATGTCATGTTATTAGTATAATCTAAATGATTTGTTGGTATCATTACTATATGAGTAGCTAAGAAAATATTTTTTATGATTGTTAAAACATAACATATATATCTATTGCTCATGCATGCATGTGTAGTTAATCCACATGATGGCACAATATGTATGTTTATTCTATTTAGTATTACAAATATTAAAAATAATAGAAGTGGGTAATGTTGAAACATAAGTATGCTTAAACTTTTTTTTTGATAATTCATATGTAGATTTGAAAGAATATTTTAGTTTTTTAATAATGGTAGAAGTGGTAATTTAGATGCAAATTTAAGAGGTTAAGTAGATTATCTGTCATAATGGTAGGTGGATGATTATATACAAATTTAGGATTACTTTAGATCAGGTTTTGTCATGGCATATGTGGGTAATTTAAATATGGATTCATGGGTTGTGTTATGTTGTTTTTCATGATAGCAAAGGTGGGTTATTATTTAGGAAAAAAATAGAATAGATCTCAAGGTTATTACTATTAAGGGTGATTAGAGTCTACTGAATTGATGGTAAAATGATTCTAATTTTCATGAGAATTCCTAATTTTTTTCTAGCACCTCTTGGGAGGATTGATGTAGAGGCTCCGTTGGGAGCATCTAGATAGAATATCTAATACTTATCTTTTTTGTAGAGTGATATTTATTTAGTTCAAACCTAAGTTTAATTTATATAAGCTCATGTTGCATCTATTTCATTTGACATTATGAATTTATATTTTAGCTTTCAACTTTTAGTCTTATTATTAGTTGTTGCAATTTCTCTAGTGCTTATTGTATCTTTTATTCAAAATTATATTTTTTGTTTTATTAAAAATGAGTCTAGGTCACATGCTACACTCTTAGTTGCCGCAATGGCATAAATAGTCATTTCAGCTTGCACCATGGTAACCTTGATGTTGAATTTATTATATCAAAGTATTATTGCCTTATGATACTATCAATCTCTCATCTTCAATCTACCAAGACTGAAAATGGGGTGCACTACAAGCTATTGTTGTTGCTTCATTTGCTCTGCTTGCCCTCCAATAGCCTCTACATGCCCACTAGACGATGTTTGATGAAATGTTTAGAAGAAAATTGCATCAGTCTTCTATTATTTAAGATTATGTGATTAGCAGTGTGCATCGGTGAGAGATAGATTTGGTCTCTATGAAAATTTGAAAGTTTCGTTTGGAAACCCAAATTGAATTCTAGAGAAAAATGTTTTTTTCCTGAATGCTCTACGCACAGTATGAGATGTTTACACTCTTCCTGAATGTTGAAATAAATGATTTATTTCTATTCACTTCACGACAAATATACATTTATCTTGAATCCTTATTTGCAATTTCTGAATTAGTTGACATGCTTACCAATCACGGTATCATTTGATACTTCCTTGCTAAACATGGCGCTAAGTGAAATGCATCAAGTTTTGTATTGTAGCCATGATGCAAGCATTGCTTGTTCTTTTGATAATGTAACCAGTTTGTTTGAAACTCAATTGAAAATTAGAGACTAAACACTAAAGTTAAAAAAGAGCTCAAAACTAACTTCAAAAATAAAATAATGTAGTTAGTACTACATTACCGCAACAATGCACGAAAGGAGTTTTATAAGGTACACCAATGGTTAAAAACCAACGAATAGATTCAAAGCGAAACTGTAGAACCCTAGAAATAGGTAGTAGATTAACTAAGACCCGATCATCGCCCTGTTCGCTTGTTGGTTTCAGCCAGCCCAAACCAGCCAGCCAACAGTATTTTCCTCTCACAGAAAATCAGCACCAGCCAGCCCAAACCAGCACCAACACCAACCAGCGAACATGCCCCATACCGCTACTACCCTGACAAAATAGTAGCATCGATTTTTTCGGGATCATGCCACCCTTGGAAGGAAGATGGATAGGTAAAGAAGGCTACAGTAGCGTAAATAACTAGTGGTTAACCACCATTAGACGTATCCAACAACATGTGCTCTGTTCGTTTGGCTGATAAGTCATGACTGAAAGTACTGTTGGCTGATTTGTTGTGAGAGAAAAATACTATTCGTTTGCTGAAAAAATACGGCTTATAAGTCAAGCGAACAGGACGTTGACCCTCTAGAGGACCAGTGGTTTTAAATATTTCCCGCCTATTACTACGGAAGAATTTTTTCGCATCCGTACTTCCACAATTTCTTAGGCTGACAGGTGTGTCCGTGGCGACTGGGGGAGCTAACAACCCCTGATTTCCTTGCCATGTGTCACTAGCTTAACCAGAAGAAGGAGCACAACGCTGCCAAAGAGCGTGTATATATATAGCAAACACTAGGATTAAGCAGTTGAAAGGAAAGGTTTGCTGCAACTGTGACCACCAGAGGCGTGTGGCGCTACTATAGCTGGGAAGGCACCGTCATGACCATCTCTTTTTTTTTGAACATAATCATGACCATCGAATCTGTCGCGCGGTAATGTGTGAATCTCCGTCGTCCCTGGTACGTGCATGTGCAGTTCTCCACGGCACATTAGTTTGACCTTCCTCTCACCACATGTTACCATGAACAACTGTGACCTCCAGAGGCTTGTGCATGGCGCTATAGCTCGGAAAGACGACACCGTCGAGACCATCGAATCTGTCGCGCGGCAATGTGTGAATCTCTATCGTCGCTGGTATGCGCATGCACACTTCTCCACATCGCATTAGTTTGACCTTTCCCCTCACCACATGTTACCCATGACCAGATGCCACCGTCTCCGTCACCACCGCAGCCGTCTCGGCCGCCGGGACAGCCACCGGAGTACAAGCACTTCTGTCGAGTATGCAACAAGGGGTTCACGTGCGGCAGTGCGCTCGGCGGGCACATGAGAGCCCACGGTGCTAGCGACGTCGACGGCTTCGGCGCCGACGACGACTCGCTCGGCGACGAGGCGTCCGCGCAGTGCCTGGGGCAGATCAGTGGGACACGGTGGGAACATCGGCGACGCACGCGTATGCGCTGCGGGCGAATCCGAACAGGCTGATCAGGAGCTGCCAGCTGTGCATAAACTGCGGGAAGGAGTTTACGTCATGGGAGCTTTTTCTTCAACACGGGAAATGCATCTCGCAGGACGAGGGAGAAGAAGAGGTGGATGGGTCTGGCTCTCTACGTTCGTCATCGCCTCCCTCGGACGCCGACGGCGAGGAGGATCCGGCCGTGGCAGCTGCATGGTCAAAGGGAAAGCGATCGCGCCGCGTCAAGGCGGAGGAGCCTTCCACCGTGGTGCCGCTAGAGCGGTGCACATTAGGAGAGGAGGAGGACCTTGCGAATTGTCTCGTCATGCTATCGTCGTCCAAGTCCAACAACGAGCGGGCGACTGTTACTGCAACGGATCATCTGGTGCCAGCAAGTGCATCTATCAAGGAAGGTGATGGAGAACCGCCGTTGCAACCGCAACAAATCTCTTTTTTCACACACGCACAAGAGTCAGTTGTGGCACTGCCTTCGCCAGTAGCTACGGTGTCACAATACATATCACCTGCATCACGTGGAGTTTTTGAGTGCAAGGCGTGCAAGAAGGTGTTCACCTCGCACCAAGCTCTTGGCGGGCACCGGGCCAGCCACAAGAAAGTGAAAGGCTGTTTTGCTGCCAAGTTCGAGAGCAATGCCAGTGAACCAGCACGCCATTCAGTGGCCATTGATACCAACAATGGCAATGGCAAGGCTGCTGCTGTCGATGAAGGCAATGCAGGTGCAAGCGCAGATGCCACAAGAGTTTTTGCTACCACTGGCGTCGAGACCAATGTAGGGACGAGTACTGAGGAGGCAACATCATCACTGCCAATGGCGCTTGTGCCCATCGGACACAATCCATCAGCCGCCACCACGCTCGCCGTCGCAGCACAATGCAAGAAAAAAGCCAAGATGCATGAGTGTTCAGTGTGTCACCGCCTGTTCACCTCTGGGCAGGCACTCGGAGGCCACAAGCGATGCCACTGGCTCACCTCGAACACGGCAGACCCTTGCAACCCGGTGGCGGCCGGTATGATCCCACCCCTGACTGAAGATCTCGTCGGCGTCGTCAAACACCAGCTCAGCCTCCGACCGATGGCGGACGTGCCGGAGCCAGTGCTCGACCTCACAATCGCGGCAAACCCGGTGGCACTAGCCGCTTCCACGGCGCGGCCCGAGGCCAGCAGCAGCTCTTTCCGTCTCGACGTAGCACCGGTGCACTTGCAGCCACTAGTCGTCGCCGTGCCAGGTAATGTTAGCCACCCGAAGAAGGCTGCAGCGATGAGCTGCCATGCCACGGATGCGGTGGCGGAGGAAGACGAGGCGGACAGCACCACAGCCAAGAGAGCTAAGATTAGCGATCTCAAAGACGTGGTGAGCATGGATGGTGAGCCCACGGAACCATGGCTTCAGGTTGGCATTGGTTCCTCGTCGGCCGCAGGTGATGACAGTTGACAAGGGCTGAGAATCAGCTATTGATTAATCGACTATGAGGTATTACGGTACATATTATTGCATTAACTACTAACTCTAGCTCAGAGCATGAATGTACAATTTGTGGAGTCTATTGTTCTATTTATGTATACTTTGATTTCTTTTTTTTTTCCTTATCTAGATTAGTATATACTTGCATCATCATTGTAAGACAGAAATGTACTGCTGTTAAAGACTAATTAAAAGCAACAATATGGAAGACAATATTTTTCTCTTGCTACAATATTTGTTTTGTAATTGATCTTTATAGCATCAAACTTTAGCCGTTAGCATATGATTTTGTGGCTTCGTATATTGTACTTATCCTCTAAATGAACCTCTCTACTCAACACTTGAGTGTTTTAGGGGCTTCTAGCACCCGGGTGTTGCATGCCACCAAAACACCCGATTGAGAACCCAAACAAAATAGAGTGTTTCTGATGCAGGAAACACTCGATTGTGTCATGACAATAGGGTTTAGATGAAATGAACCAAATAAAATTTACAAAAATATTAAATAAACAAAAAATAGCCAGATTATTTCTATGGAAGCCAAATTGAAAGATTTCCAAAGGGGAACCAAATAAAACATACAGAAAATAAAAATAGCAAAAAAAATCAGATAATTGTTCGAGTAATTGTGACCATTCTCATCTACGATAATCAATTTACACTAACTGAACACAAAACTTACATCTAAATAAGAATAGTAAAAATATGGTTCAATAAGACGTAATCTGCAGATACTAAGCAAGGAGCAAATCTTCCACGCTTTCTATAACTTTCTGGACCACGATTGTGGTCCCGGTGCAATGTATGCATACAAGATGGATCAGGCTGCGTGCATGCACGGTCCAATGGTGGGGTCCAGCGACTGCTGACCCGGTGTAGGGGTGAGGTGGGAGACGTAAGCTCGAGCGGTTTTTAAGGCACGGAGGCAGCGGTTTTAAGCTCGAGCGGTTTTTAAGGCACGGAAGCAGCGGTTTCCAACTGAACAGCATTGTGCGGACGTGGTCACCAACACCCTGATCTGACGCACAGGAAATTGAGAGTGCGCGCACGGATAGGAACACCAAACACCCGAGCACTAGATAGCTTTTCTGTTATTTTAACGGTAACCAACCAAAGAACCAAACATTATCGAGCGCAAAGATGTACATGCAACCTGGTGGTCCGCCCCGAAGCCCGCTTTTTTAGCCCTACCTTAGCCCAGCCTGGTATAGTGAACAACAGGCCATGCCAACCCGACCCGAAGGAGCGGGCCATACTTGGGCCGCTCTCCCCACCTGGCGGGCGGCCCAATGGTAGGCCCATAGGGGCCCGATCAGCTGGGACGGGAATAACCCCCTCCCCCCTCTACCCCTCTCACCCCGCCAAACCGTAATCATTTGTTTCCCTCCCCTCTCGCCACACTTGTTCAGTCGCTCTCGGCCTCTCGCCTCCCTCTCGTCATCTCGCGACTCTCGCCGTCTCGCCATCGCCTCCACCCTCGTCATCGGACGCGACCTCTCCACTGCCGGATCTCGCCTATCTCTTGGTGAATCTCGCTCTCCTGCATCTTCACACCACACCTCTGGCCTCTCAACTATCATCTGCCTCTCAGCCTCTTGCCGCTATCGCTTGAAGTTCGCCATCCCTCGAAGGCTGTGGTGCCGTGCTGTGTTCTTCTCCGACTTTGGACTTCGTCTCTGCAGGTAAAGTAATCCTAACCCCAGCTGTCCAGATTGCAGCATGCAGTTGAGAACCAAGAGTTCGAAGAGTCCTTCAAGAATGTGGCTAGATGGAGGTGGAGAAGGTTCTGCAGCCTGAAGAAGTGAAGTTGAACTAGTGGCCTAGTGTTGGACTGCTGGTGCCATTGTATCTGTGATCTGTCATTGTCCTATGTCTTCTGTTCTGTGTGTGTGTGGGTGTGTGTGTGTGTGTGTGTGTGAGAGAGAGAGAGAGAGAGTGAGATAGCGAGAGACTGAGTGTGAGTGTCATCTGTGAGACTAGTGTATGTTTCATGTTTGGACTTGAACTATGGTTTGTAAGACATTAAATATTTGAACTTTGAGCTGGTTGTACTCTTTTTCCTTTCCCGGATTTCTCATAAGTGTGAGTTTTATCAAGAAAGGTTTTTAATGAGACAAAGATTGCACATCAGCTCAATAAAATTTGGCTTTCCATATCTTGCCGGTTGCCATTTTCATTTCCTACTGCTTTTCAATTTCTTAACTTAGATTCGACATTCTGTTGAGTGTTGATCTTCTTTAGATTTCAAATGTGAAATGAGAACATTGAATTGAGTTGTTTGAGGGCTTTTCAGGTCAGTCCAAAAAAAAAAGGCCCGACAGGTTATATCTGGAGTCGATAGTCGGTCGGCCGAGTCGATCCACGGTGCCTACCCCGGTGCCACTGGCCCTGTGCGTCTTAAGAGCGGTTCGAGTGGCCATCTATTGTCCAGCGCACTGAGTTTAGGTAATCTTTGAGAGCACTGTACAATGCAGGCGCTTGTAGGCTGTTATTTTGTTATTCCTCCACCCTGGACTCTAGCTCAGACACCTTTGGGCGCTTACTGGATGAGTCGGAGCTCGAAAAGCAATGGCGCCGGGCGAATCTCACGTGATCTCTAGGCCCGAGAGGAAGCCCGATTTTTTTTTATTTTTAGCCTTTTTTGAATTTTTTTCACAAATATTCTCCTGGAGGTAGGATTTTAAAATCTGGACCCTTAGCTCGGTGGTCTTACACTTCTCGAGCTTACACTGTAGATTGTTGCTGGCGCCGAGGTCTTGGGCTCGACGCAGACGTGGCAGTGACTTGGCGAGGCTGACTCGGGTGTTGTAGATCCCTGGCGCCAAGATCTATAACGCCGAGGTGGTGTTTTAACCTCGGCCCCAACCTTCCTGCCCGAGCCTTCTTTCTCTTCTTTCTCCTTCCTCTTGGGTTTTCTCTCCCACTTCGCCCTACCTCATGAATCAACATTGTGGACCTTATAAACTTTGATTTGATCCGTAGATCTTCGAGAGCAAGGTATCCTCGCTCCTCTCCTAGTTTTTTTCGCATCGATTCGGTATATATTAGTAGGATTTTTCAACCTAAGAATCGTCATTACTTAGGGTTTCATACAATTTTTAATATTTATATTATACAACCGTAGGATGCCAAGGCATGGAAAAACTAGCAAACCAAGGTAACCTCAGCGCATGTTGTTATATTATGGGTTCATTGTTGTGCATCAAATGGGAAACCCTAGGTTTAGGGTTTAATATTAGTTGCTTTTGGTTCTTAGAACGAAATTGGTTGAATTGTAGTTATGGCCGAATGACTAGAAATGCCTTCGACCCATTGCCTCTGCCTAGTGGTGTTCCAGTGTCCATGTGCTTTTGCGGCGATCCTTGCAAGGCAGCCAAGTCCAATGAAGAGGACACGTATAGGTAGAGATATTGGATGTGTTCCAATTTTGCGTTTGAGCCTACACTTCGTCAGCGCCGCATTAACAAGATGGTGAGGAATTGATGTTTGTGTCATATGACATCTTGCATGATTTTTTTTGTTTTGTAACAATTGCATTTTTTGCAGATCCCTCCACCGCTCTATGATTTTAAGCAGCGGATCAACACTGAGATCAAGTCTGAAGACAAGGAATAGATGCAGAAACTGTTGCGGTGGGAGGCAGAGGAGAAGGAGATGATGGAGAAGAGACATGGAGAGGAGGCTGCAAAAAAGGAGCACAAGGAAGAGGAGGAAAGGAGGCGTGTTGCTACGTACAGGGAGGAGAGGGAGAAGAAGCTTGAGCATGCACGCCGAGCGAAAGCAGCGATGGAGGAGAAATCCAATGCCCTGAGGAAGGGAGAGTGACCTCGTTGCACTCAGTAGTCTCTATGACTTGCTAGTTCTATGGTTTATTCATGAACAATATTGTCCACTGTCGATACGTACTTCTATTATTATTGTGTTGTTTAATGTGGCATAGTATTAGACTTTTCATTATGTAGTTATTTTCATTATTTGTGGTCATAATATTAAATATAATGTTGCGGACGTAGTGAAATATTATCACGTGCTGCAAACACAACCTAACGAAGTAGGGCATTATATAATTCAACACACAAAACACATGAAATGGCATGTGAGAACATGTACCGAACTAGGGTACAGAGTTCCTTCGACTAAACCTAACATGCCTTAAATAATTAAATCAAACAATAAACACATGGATGTGCCACCATGTGAATAAGATATGGTCGTCCTAGTAGTGTGGCCACATAGCAAATTGTATTGCACCTTCTCCACATTAGCCTTCCATTGTTGTTGGTGGTGGTGGCGGGGGTGACGGCGGAGGCCCCTTGTTCTTGTGGTTAGGGTAGGTGCAATATGGATCATTGCAGAGTGCCTCTTGTGAATCGACACCATTGTTGTTGTCGTCCTGTTCGTCGTCCTTATAACTGCTGCTAACTTTTCTTTCTAGATCGAAGATACGGTCCTGCAGGTAGTAGATGTACTCCGCATGCGGATAAATAGGTCGAGGATCGATCCACCTAGTAAACCCACAGTTTTCTTCGGCCAAGGAAGACTGCAATAAGTATGTCGTGTAAGTTGTATAGAAGAGGAACATATTAAAGAAACAAATAGTAATAGCAATTACCCATGCTCGTGGGCATTTGAAGAAACGACGACCTCCATCTATTCCTTCGGTGAACATCTGCACTAGGTAGTTCTCACCATGCATGCATTTTGGTCACTCTTCTTTCCGTTCATCGTATCCTCTCAGTGGTGCCTCTTTGGTGAAATCACTTTTGCTCTCAACTAGGAACCTCTCATAAAGAGCTTCCTCAAAGAAATCGGGACCAAAAGAACCCTCCCATATAATGGTAGTTTCCTTCCCCTTTTCTCTCCATTTGGACGACCCTCCAGACATTGGTATTGCAACGAAAGAAAATACTGAGGAGTGCTCTTCTTTCTTGTTGTGTGTGTGAATGAGAGAGAGTGGGGTTATTTATAGG